GAACTCCTGAGCTCAAACAATCCGCCCGCCTCGGCCTCCCAGAGAGCTAGGATTGCAGGCGTGAGCCACCGCACCCGGCCTCTTTTTTGACATCGTAAGTTATGGGGATCTTTTCGCATCAGCACATACCGTTCTGCTGGCTTCATGTACCTCATTGTATGGACGTCCCCTCAGTTACTGTAAACAGTTTCTATTGATGGGCATTTACTAGGTTATTAAGTATGAAATGTCTGATTTCCTTAAGTGCTAAATTTGACAGTTGATATCTCTGACATTTCACTTTGGCGCTTCTTGTTTTATTTTTATTGTGAAGATACATCCTCAGTCTTTCAAATACATGTTTTGGCTTGTGATTATCTTTCACATTTTTTTAGAGCAGTTTTTGTGAAACCATGGATAAGTGAAAAATTTATGTTATTTTTGAATATGCCTTCCATTGTGGAACCAATGCAACACAGACAAATCAAAATATCAACGAAGTGTTTGGGAAGGATGTTGCTAATGGATGCGCAGTATGTCAGTGGTTCGAGAAGTTCTGTTCTTGATTTTAATCTTGAAAGTGAGCCACACGGGTGAGCTGAGACCAAGGTAGATAATGATGAGCCGAAAGCTGTTGTGGAAGCGAATCCATCTCAACCTATGTGTGAATAAGCAGCAGGATTTGATGTTACTATTACAAAAATACTGGACTATTTGAAACAAATCAGCAAGGTAAAGAAGCTGGATAGATGGGTACCGCATGAATTAAATGATCGTCAGAAGACAAATTGTCTCAAAGCTTGCCTTTCTTTGCTGTCATGATATACAGAGGAACCATTTCCACACTGTATGGTTATGTGTGATGAAAAATGGATTATTTTGAGAATTGCAAGCATTTGGCTCAATGGTTAGATAAAGATGAAGTGCTGAGGCACAGTCCAAAGCTGAATATTCTTCAAAAAAAGCTAATGGTGTCTGTTTGGTGGTCCATTGCGGGTATTATTCACTATAACTTCATGAAACCTGGTCAATCCATTATAGCCGAAGTCTCCTGTTACCAGTTGGAAGAAATGATGAGGATGTTTGCAATTAAGCAGCTGAGATTGGTGAATAGAGACAGGCCAATCTTCTTGCAAGACAGTGCTCGACCACATGTTGCACAAACAATGCTGCTCGAACTACAGAGGCTGGGCTTGAAAACTCTCTGTCGTTCACCGTATTCACCAGACTTTGCACCAACTGGCTATCACTTCTTCCAGGCTTTGAGCCACTTCTTGCAAGGAAAAATATTCAATTCTCAATAAACACCTTTTGCGATTTCATCACCACTTGCTCTCCCGGCTGCTTTGCTGCTGGCGTAAACAAGCTACTGTTAAGGTGGCACAGCTGTTCTTTGCTAACCCAGCCCTGTATCAGACATTGTGTGCAAGACAGTCGATTTCACCTTGTCAGTCCTCATGGTTGTAGTTATTGCTGGTGCCATTTTCACCTGACAATCTGTACCTTCCACCTAAAACATTGCCCCACTTAGCAGGAAGCAGCTTGATGACTACTGCCCTCCTCCCATAGGTATGGAAAGGTAAAATGAATGGTGGGGAATATGTGACAGAGAAATGGCCTACAAAAGGGTAAAAATGTTTTCTGTCTCTTCAAAATCCCCTCACCCTTTTTGAGAACTAAAACTTGTATCCCAGCCTCAGGCCAGTGGTCAGGAGGGGCAGGGGAGTGTCCTTTGTTCTTTGTGCCACAAGAGATGTCTCAAGGGACTTGTCCGGCGGGGAGATCAGGAGATCATCTTAGCCAAAGATGGGATGAATCAGAGGCTTTGGTAGCTCTGTACTTCTGCTCAGAAGCAGGACGTTGGTACTTTGAGATGGGAGTCTGCCAACTTCATTTGTCGGCAAATTAATAAGCTCCTCTTTCCTTCTCAACAAAAAAGAAAAAAAGGAAAAAGATGGCAAAATTGTGTTGATAGTTTGGGTGCATACTTTCACTAACAGTACTGCTTCTTGTTTGAGATATAATAAGCTACACTTTTGATTCGAAATTATATATTTCATATTTAATAACCTAATAAATTAATGACTGTTTCACTCTTAGAAACAATGCTGCATTGAACACCTTAAGTGTATCTTTGTGTACATATGACAGTATCATGGTAGGGTAAATTCCTTTTTTAAAAAATATAGAGAGGATATCTCGCTATGTTGCCCAGATTGGAGTGCAGTGGCTATTCACAGGCACGATCATGGTGTGCTACAGCTTCAAACTCCTGGCCTCAAACCATACCCCGCCTCAGTCTCCCATGCAGTTGGGACTACACCACGGCACCTGGCCCCATAGGATAAATTCCTAGAAGTGGGCTTACTGGGTCAAGGAGTACATGCTTTATAACTCTCACCGATACTGCCATATTGCTCTCCAAAGAGATTGCACTGGTCCACACCCTCACAGCAGTGTGTGAGAGGGTGTGTTTCCCAGGATTGGGTATTACCTCACTTTTGAAAGTCTTGCCATCCTGTTAGGTGAAAAATACTATGTCATTGTTTTAATTTGCATTTATTTAATTATGAATGAGATGAAGCATTTTTTTTCTGTTTACTGGTCATTCATATCTCTTTTGTGAATTACTTTTTGGTGTCCTCCGTTTTCCATTGACCTGTTAGGCTTTTGTTAATTTACAAGAGTTCTTTGCAAAGAAATGATCACTTTGTTGTTTGTGTTGAATATATTTTTCCTGCTTTGTTATTTGCCTTTTGAATGTGTTTCTATCTTTCCTCTTCCTGGATGTTTTCTCTTCCCTGAATTTTGGTGACCGCTCTCCTGGGTGTCTTTCCATCTCTCATCACAGTCATTTTAAGGCTCTATTGTCAGCTGGTTTTCCCTGTGACCATCCTAAGTGCCGCTTTTCCCCGAGGGTCAGTCTCCTGGCTGGTCTCCCACTCCCTGGGCAATCTCATCCACATTCCTTGTTTTAGCTACAGAGTTGAAGGCTCCCCAAGCTGTTCGAAGCCAGTTCCTCTCTGTCGAGCGTTAGCCCTGAATATGCAACTGCCTAGTAAACATTTCCTCGTGGAATTGCCACAACGTCTCCAGCTGCACCCTCCTGCCCTGCCCGTCCTTCCATCTCTGTCCCTGGCTTCTCTGAGGGCACCAACCTCTAGCTGGGTGCTAAGCCCAGAGCTGCAAGTTTTCACAGCCTCCGCTCCTTCTCATGTGTTCCATCTAATTGGTGGCAGTGTCCTCTGGCTCCTGCCTGTGAAACATCTCCGGGATCTGTCCTCCCCTGAAATGTCTCAGCTCCCGGGGCTGCTGCCAGAGCCCCTCACGTTCCCCTGATCTGCCGACCCCCCTTCTGAGCAGAACTGTTCGTCCCTGTGATCAGTTCTTTCTCATGAGGAAATTTGATCCTGTCTCTGTTCTGCTGAAAATTCTACAGTAACTCCCTTTTACCTGCAGGACGGTATCTAAACTTTTCTTATCACACGAAGTCCTTTCCTCCTCTGCTTCCTGAGTACCTTGCCTGCCTTACCTTTCTTCTACTTGTCCTTCCCACAAGAATGGACTCCTGACATCAGAAAGGACTGCCATTGATGTTGAAGAGGGAGAGAAAATTTGCTGAACAGTGGTTAGAAATGGTTGGAAAATTGAAACAGCACAAAAAGGGACGTGTGTGCACACACATGCACACACACACACACACACACACACACACACACACACACAGTCTCTTTCTCTTCTCCCTGCCACTAGATGTAACCACTGTTTACAGCTAATGGTGGCCCCTTCCAGAAAAACACGCTAGGCTATGTGGCGTGAGTGTGTGTATCTTACTTTTCTGTTCATACAAATGTGCACTGTTGAGCCGGGTTTTTTTGTCGGCCCTGGAGTACGCGTCCCTTCTTTCATGCAGCTGGTCTTGGTAGCGATCTCATCTCTGTGATCAGCCACTTAGTGCCAGATGTTAACTGTTAGCCTGGACACATAGCGACGATTTGTCTTTCCCTATCTTAGAAGAACACACTCTCTTTTTTCCCCTCTTACAGGTAATGCGGAAATCTCATGAAGCCCGTGAAAAATTGCTTCGTCTGGGCATCTTTAGACAAGTGGATGTTTTGATTGATACGTGCCAAGGTACTTACTGTGTTGTGGTATCTTTATGATTCTCTGTCCATCTATCCTGCAGGACACAGAAAAGCTGTTGTGTCGCCAGATACGGATGGTGCCTGAAGGTTTAACCAAACAGATGAGCCTTCTCTTTAGCAGTCTCAGGGAAGGGACCGGAGCTTTACGTCTGGCTGAGGCAGGATTGGTAAACTTTGAAATGTTGTCCTCCAGACCCCTGGCCTACACCGGGGCTCTGAGAAGGACCCTGAAGGTGGGCACTGGGCCTCCCTCACCACGGCCAGCCCAGCGGCTGTGCCTTTGGCAGACCCCATCTCCATGTGTGCTCTAACAAGAGGAGGGAGTCAGATTTCTGTTTTAGTTTTTGCTCATTTTCTCATTTGCTGTGTGATACTGGGCAAGTCTCTCAACTTAGTCTCCTAGCAGGAGAACAGATTCCTTTAGCAAATACTGTTCGCTGAAGCAAATACTGCTGCTTGTCATCATCTCCTTGTGGCAAAAGTTGGCTGTGTTTTGATATATTCTACCGCAGAAACTAGAGACAGAATTTTTGGTGTAGAGGTGTACGATATTTTGATTTTGTGTGGGAGTGTTCTTGAACTTTAAAATAGATGGTATATTTTCCAAAGGAGATTATAAAATAAAATGAACCTTTTACCCATAAGATTGCTTTTTGTCTTTATTAACAATGGGACCGAAAATAAAATGATATTATAGCTGTCTTATTTTTTAACATTTTTTATTTACTTAGGTGATGATGCACTTCCAAATGGGTTAGATGTTACCTTCGAAGTAACTGAATTAAGGAGATTAACAGGCAGTTATAACACCATGGTTGGGAACAATGAAGGCAGCATGGTATGGTATAGGTTTTTTCTTTTTTATATTGGAACTTTGAATTATGAGCTCTTAAACTATGACTGCAATTCTAAAAGCTGATGATAGTTTTCAAAACTTTGTCATTTCATGTACCTTAATCTGTTACTTGTGGTTTCTCTTTAATCTCCCTAAAATGGATTATAATGCGTTTTGAATTGTTTAGTAACAATATTAACATCAGTAATTAGTAACGATTTGGGGAATGTTCATATTAATAGTGTCTTGTTGAAATTCCTGTAAACTCCAAATGTGTGGAATTCATGTCCTTGAGCTTCACAGGTGGCAAGTTTAGCTTGTCTGTCACGTTAATCAGGTGTGTGTGGGATGTGTGCTCTTGGCACAGGCGTGTTTTAAAGAGTAGAACAATTACAAATGAAAGGTCGGATCTGTAGTCTTCATTTTTGTTCTGTTTTTATGAAAGTCTCTGAGCTAGCACAATCTTTATCCAAAGTTGTTATTCCTTTTATTTAGACCACTGCTGTTTTTTTTCCCTCCTAGGTACTTGGCCTCAAACTCCCCAATCTCCTAGGTCGTGCAGAAAAGGTGACTTTTCAGTTTTCCTATGGAACCAAAGAAACTTCATATGGCCTGTCCTTCTTCAAACCACAGCCTGGAAACTTCGAAAGAAAGTAGGAAGCCAAAGAGATCATTGAATACACTGGCCTGATTTAAAAGTTAGAATAGATGTCTTGTTTGTGAAAAACTAACAGAATCAGCTGCCACTTCTTGCAGCTGAACCCCATAAATGTTTTAAATCTGTTGATTTAACTGTGTACAAGTTCTAATCACTGTTTCAGCTTTTAAAGCTCTATCCCTTATCTCCCAGTTTCTCCGTAAACTTGTATAAAGTTACTGGGCAGTTCCCTTGGAGCTCACTGCGGGAGACGGACAGAGGGATATCAGCCGAGTACAGTGTAAGTAGCATTTCTGTCATTCCCTTTGTGGGCTCGGGTAGAAACAAAGTGTTTTTCCTATTGACTCCCAGAGACGGCAAGTGGGAGGCAAGGAGCACACAGACCCTCTGCCCCACCTGTCAGCTGCCTCCTGGCACTTGAGAAAGTACCTGAATGCCAGACGGCCCTAGGTGCAGAAATGGCAGGTGAGCAAGGCTGCCCCTGCTGTACCATCTCCTGGTTCTCCAGCACATGGCAGGGTGCCTTGTAGGTGCTCTGTACCCCGAGGTTCTCACCCTGAAGCCAGGTGGGGTATTCTGGGCCTGTGACTGTGTCCCACCTACTCATGATGGCCTGGAGCTCTCTCGCAGGCCGGAGGGCTATGGGGAGTGCCCGGTGTGGGACGCCCTCTGGGGAGCGTGGCGTGACCTGGCTTCCCTGTGAGAGCAAATCACCGTCACACTTCCCACCACAGCATGGCTCACCTTTCAGAAAGAATGTGGGCGTTTCTCTGAGGTGGACTCTAAGACGAGCTGTCTTTGCTAAGACAGGACAGTGTGTCAGGCTGAGAGGCAGGTCCCACTTGCCTGGACCCTGGAGTTCACAGGCCTCTGGCCGCAGGAAGGATACTCAGCTCTTAACTCTTGCATAACTTTGTGTCCTGGTTCTTGTCTCTGGGCTGATGTGAGTCATGTGGCTCACCGGGCCTGGCTTCAGACAGGGATTGGTGGGCCTGCAGGGTGTGTGCCAGGCCGTCCTAGGTGTCTTTATCCCGCACAAAGGGAGGTGAAAGAGACGCCCCGTTGGCTATGGAGTTGCCTGCAGCTTTCAGAGCAGTGGCCCTGTGCCCTCTCCTGGAGCACAGTCCTGCTCTGGGAGCGTTCTTTCCTTTCGTTCAGTTCGCAGCTTTCTCCCTTTGTCCCTTTGTCCTTCCTCCCCCATTCCCCCCTTCCCTTCTCCCTCCCTCCCAGCATTTATAAAATTTTTTTCCATCAGCATTGGAGGTGGAAATAACTAAAAATAAATAAATAAGTAAAAATTTTCATTTTAGGTATTTTGTTAATTATTTCATGATTCCTCATTCCAAAAAATGGTTTGCAACAGTTTCCCCAAGTGTGTGCAGTACAGAAAGATGTCTCATTTCCTCGTGTGCATTCGCAGTTTCCCATATGGAAGACCAGCCACACCGTCAAGTGGGAAGGCGTGTGGCGAGAGCTGGGCTGCCTCTCCAGGACAGCGTCATTTGCTGTTCGCAAAGAAAGCGGGCATTCGCTCAAATCATCTCTTTCGGTAAGCACTTTCCTATGTGCGTAAATAATTTTGCGGGTGGAACCCTGCTACTTGTTGGGAAAACAGTCTTTGCCAACAGCGGGGCTGACTGAGAAGTGTCCTGGGGATTGGGTGGCTGCAACGGTGGCTCCTGGCTCTCTGTGCGCTTTGGTAGCGTACTGCCACATGTCACATCGTGGTGGTGGGAAAAGGTGTGTTTAGGAGCTGACTGTGGGATTTTAGCTTTGAAAGATAATTAGAAAACTGGCTGAGCCGACTTAGGCCAGGACGTCGAGCCCCTTGAGAGAACGAACCCAGGGACGGGTCGTAAACTCCCTGGCACTAAGTGGGGAGTCGTTTATTCCAGTGGTGCTCAGTCTGGCTCTGGGGACCTCAGCGCCCGCACGTGTATGCCAGGGGTAACCACACTACCTTCCTCCGAGGGCTTTTGTGAAGGTGAAATGATTCGACAGTTGTTAAGTGCCCAGCGCAGGCCTGGTGTACAGTCAGCTCCGCGCGTGTCCCTTGTGATTTATAGAAGTGCTTGAAGTGAAAACCCCTCCATTCACGTTCCTTTCAGCATGCCATGGTCATCGATTCTCGGAATTCTTCCATCTTGCCAAGAAGAGGTGCTTTGCTGAAAGTTAACCAGGTAGCGTTCTTCCCCTGTTAACCTCTGCATGGCAGGGCAGGCAAGCTTTGCACAGTAGACGGAGGTGGGGGGTCATGCAGAGTGTTCACGTTTGTGATGTTAAACTTTGTCCTTTAACTGTGGGAATCATCTGGAATTGCTGGCAAGGACCGTCAGCTCCTCTGTCTGGGCTCCCAGCTCTGGAATTGCCCCTGCTCCCTGCGGTTCAGGCTTGTGCTGTCACAGAACCCAGGGTGGGGATAGCTTGTGGCGTCTTTGATGGTGGCACTGATAGGCCAGGAGGAGAGTTGTGGTTTGGGGTGAGTGGTTTCCTTGCTTACCCCTGAGAGAGCTCCTGAAGGCAGAGATTGTCCCTTGACACCTGCAGGGGCAAGTCAGGTGCTAGTAGCCGGGCAGGCCTGGAGGAGGTCTTCACTGCCTTAGAGAACCGTGCTCTGTGCTCCTCTGTGCTTTTAGTGGTCTTTTGCTTTCCCTGTTTGGTTGGAGGCAGGAGTGCAGAGACCCAGTTTTCTGTTGTAAGATTGACAACAGGGAAGGGCTGACCCCCGGCAGGAGACGTTTGGGGGTGGCGGGGCTGTGACGAACTTCGACGTCCCTCCCCTGAGCGCTGCCCTCGCTGTGGCCAGCGGTTCAGTTTTCGTCGTGCAGGGCAGAAGCCCGGGATGCCTGATCTTCTGTTTCAGAGGAACAATTAGAAATCAAATTTTTATACAAAATGTCCCAAATTGTGAGAGGCTAGCTAATTTTTTTCCCCAAACCCTGATTAAGCTAACGAACCGTATCACCCGTTGTGAGCTCTGTGATGGAACTCGGGTCACTGGCATTTTCCCTCGTGTGACAGGAATGACTTTCTCTGCATGGTCAGGTCTCTGCCTCTGTCAGTCCCTGTTACCATGTGCAGCAACTAGATATGGCTTCCAGGAGACAGCGTGTTCTGTTGTCTTTTAAAAACTAAATAACAGCAAAAAAAAAACAAACCATTATTTAGTAACCCGTGTAATAAGTCTGTTTGCTCCCTCCAACCTGAGACTCTCTTCCCACAGGAGCTGGCGGGCTACACCGGAGGGGATGTGAGCTTCCTCAAAGAAGATTTTGAACTTCAGTTGAATAAACAATTCATATTCGATTCAGTGAGTATCTAAGCCAAAGCATGTCACCTGCACCGTCATCCCTTGGGTTTTGGAATCTTATCCAAAAATCTGTGTTCCTGAGTATCTAAAGCACTTAAGTGGAAACCGAGTAGTAATGCTTTAAACTGCAGTTCTCAATCCTTTAAATTCAGCCGGAATTGAAGACGCTCTGGGGAGGAATGATAATTGTTTCTGTAACAAGTAATCTGTTCATCGGTGCGAACACGGGAGAGCCCTCCCGGTTACCGTCTCAGGGCCCCGAGGAGGCGCGGCTCAAGGAAGAGGAGTGTCTCCCTTCCCTCGCACGTTACTTCACCTCATTTTGCTGGAGCCGCAGGGCTCTGGGTGCTTTCAGAAATTTTTTTTTTGATATTTAGTCCAGATCAACGGCTAGTTTCTCCTGCTTCAGTCAGGAATGAGGAGTGAGTGATCAGCTTCTGATCTAGCCGGGGGAGCCGCAGGCTAGAAGAACACCCGGCGCATTTCTCAAGTCTCCCCAGCTCTCCCGCCCGCGCCCTCCCACTGCCTGGGCCCTCATCTGCCCTAAAACGTGGGAGCCGGGAGTGAGTGTTATGGAAACGGACATGCAGCTGTTTCTAGGCAGCTTATTGAAAAATAATGTATTGTTGCTCCCGTTCAATCCTTGGTTCATTGCGCTTTGAACCTGGCCCCTGCCTTCCCCCGCCCCTGCCATTCAGCAGCTCTCTGTTGCCCGGTGCAGTGAGCTCATTCCGGTCCCTTCCACGGCACTCGACGCTGTTGTCTTCTTGCTCGTTTTCCTCATTTTCTCTTTCTTGGTTTCCTTGACTCCATCATCGCTGCGTTCTCCTTGCACTCTTCGCTTTCTCTGTCGCGGGGCCCTTTCTGCCTCGTGGGCATGGCTTGCGCCTGATTCTTGGTGGTCTCCCCACTCTGCCGTTCCCACAGAGGAGCCCCAGCCCTGTGGCTGCAGCTGCCGTCTGTGCTGTGACTCCTGAGGCCCACCTGGCTCTCTTTCCCGAGCCCAGACTCAAGTGCTCCCCAGTGTTTTGACTCTGTGTACAGACACCTCAAATCGACGTGCCTAAAACAGAACTCAGCAACCTCCCTCCTGAAATCCGCGCTTGTGTCTGGGCTCCCAATGCCACTGGCTGGGACGGCATTGCCCAGCTGCCCTTGAGCTTCCCCCCACCGTCAGCTGCCCAAGTCCTCCCCTCAAAGCCACCCGCTGTGTACTGGGCCGTGTCTCCTCTCTGCCAGCGCTGCCCACTGCCCTTCCTGGCAGCACTGAGGTCACGTCTCAGTTGGCTCCGCTCCTCGCCTCCCCACACTCCATCACCCTACCCCTTCTCCACTGCAGACTTTGGTTTCTGAAATGCAACCTGGACCTTATTGCCTTCCTGGTTTTTGGGTGCGTGTGGCCCTTCGACCCTTCATTTCAGTCCCCTTGTCCTCAAGCTTTGGCTCTGTGAAAATACTTAACGTTTCCCAAAAGGACTGTCTTCGCTGGCTGTAGCTCCCTTTTCCCAGCTGTCACTTGGCCTCCTGCTCCTGGCCTCTAAGACTTCAGCACAGGCCCGTCTCCTGGCAGCCTTCTCTAACCTCCCACGCAGGGCTGGGGGCTCCTCCTCTGTGCTTGCATCTCTTGTGCTTATCTCATGGTAGTACCTGTTCATCACCCAGCTACCCACCCAGCCACCACCCTTCCATCCATCCACCTGTCTGCCCACCAGCCATCCATCCGTCCCCCATGCACCCATCCAGCACTTGTGTGCTGGCCTCCAGGCACTGTCTGGGCATTAAGAATACATCAGTGAATAAAACACACTTCCTGCTCTCAAAGGACTTACGTGCAAGAGAAGGGAGACCTACAAGCTGCTGTACTTATGTGTAACTTAGGAGATGGTGGTGGTAACAAGAAAAGTACAGCAGAACATAGGGGTGGACAGGGACCAGTAGAGGGTGCTGTTTTATTTAGGATGGTCAGGGAAGGCGCTGACAAGGCAGAGCAGAGCCAGAGACAGAGTGAGGGAGCCAGGCATGGGGTCCTGGGGCAGGAGCACTGGCCCTGAGAAAGAGCAGGGTGCGGGGCAGCAGTGGAGAGGACAGGGGTAGGGCCAGACAGGGAGGACCTACAGGAAGGCTGGGGCAAGGGTTCTTGTGCCCAAGGGTTCTGGAGCCTTCTGAGAAGAGGCCTAACGGGGTGATGCCAGCTGCTGCGGGGAGAGGAGCTTATAGGGCAGGGTGTGAGCAGGGAGGTGGGAAGAGCCTGGTGCTGTGGGCTGGCAGCGGAGAGAGCGAACTGAGAAGGCCGAGAAGTCGGAGCCAGAGCCTCTGGAAAGTGGAGTCACCATTCTCCGAGACGGGGGGCCCTGAGAAGGAGCGGGGGTTGGGGGCGACGGGGGGGGGTAGAGCGCTGGGTTTGGACGCGTTATTGGGAAGTGTGGAATGGGCAGTTAAGTGTGAGTCTGGTGTTGACGGACAGCCAGGCCAGATTCCAGATGGGCACAGTCTCACCGAAGGTGGCCTTGGGCCGGGGCCTCCCAAGCACCAGCAGGGGAGGCGCGGTCTCAGGGCTGAGCTCTGGGGCAGTGGGAGTCCACAAATGAGGGCTCAACAGCAAGGGGATGGAGTGGGAGCAGTCGGTGAGGTGGGGAGGGGGAGAGCGGAGGCTGAGCAGAGGGTAGGAGAGGCTGACCAGCTGTCTGTAGTGCTCAGTGCCAGCCCAGGTGACGGACGATGGGATGTAACATCTGAGAAACGATGTTCACTCCAGAATAGGCATTGCACTGGGAAGACGGGCACCATGGTGAACACGTGTGCATGCAGGGCGGCAAAGGAAGACAGAGTTTTAAAGGAAAAATGAGGATTACAGAATGATTTTGAGGTAATTTTCCTTGGCTACAAGAATCAATAAGAAGGGGCAGGTGTGGTGGCTCCCGCCTGTAATCCTAGCACTTTGGGAGGCTGGCGGGAGGATCGCTTGAGGTCAGGAGTTCAAGACCAGCCTGAGCAACATGGCAAGACCCCGTCTCCACAAGAAACAGAAAAAATTAGCTGGGCGTGGTGGTGCGCGCCCGTCGTCCCAGCTTCTGGGCTGGTGAGGGTGCGCACTCACGAGGAGCTCACGGCGCAGGTGCAGAGAGACCTCTCACAGACAGATGAGGATAAAAAGTAATTGAGAGTTTGTTTACTTTTCTGAGAGAGAGAGAGAGAGAGAGAGAGAGAGAGGGGAAAAGGATGGGGTGGCACAGCACACAAATGAAGGAGCAGAAGTGCCGGGCAGCTGAGGAAAAGCTGTTTGGAGTTTTTAAGGGGTGAAAATGGTTTTTTTCCTCTTTGTTGCAGACCGATAAGAGAAAGTGTTGTATGTGCTTTTTCATTTTTTTTCTTTGTGAGGCCAACTGTAAAGTCCTTGGAATCTGGTTTTGGCAGGAACTGAGGCAGAGAGCTGGAGCGGGGAGCTTGCACCCCTGTTGTCTGCTCAGGGCTCTTCAAGGCTGTGAAACAAACTCTTGGAGATGACGAGTCAGGCCACAGGTGTTTAATCAAACAAAACAAAGGGGGGCAGTTGTTCTGTGAGTTTTCTCCTCAAAGGGGCAAATTTATGTTGTGGGTTGTTTCCCTTACCTTCTGTTTGATAGTTTATTTTCCTCTGTTAGGTAGCTTATTAGTAAGGTTGCCTTTCAGGGAGGCTGAGGCAGGAGGATTGCTTCAGCCCTGGAGTTTGAGGCTGCTGTGAGCTGTGATGACACCACTGCAGTCTAGCGTGGGCCACAGAGCAAGACCCTGTCTCAAAAAATAAAAAAATAACAAGGGTAGCGCCGGTGAAGGTTGGACAGGCGGTTGGTGGGCACATGGCCTCACGGAAGTGTCCTTTTGTGTGAGTTTGCAGTGGCCCTTGCGCAGGGTCGTGGGTTTTGCAGGCTTTTGTGATAGTTGGTATCAGGCGTTCATGCCTGAGAACCCTCCCTCCGTGGCCTTTCCTGGCTCTGTCTGTCAGGTTTTTAACACAATTGGCTCCAGTTTGATTCTGACAACTGTTACGTAGGTAACCCCAGTGTGCGGATTGGGGTGCAAGAGAGAATGGCTGAATGCTGCGTGGGGTCCTGATTGACTCCGGAGGAGGGAAGACCTAAGTGGAGAACTGTGGTGTCCTGACGGGGTCTGGAGCTCAGCAGTCGCAGGCGGGCCCGGCCCCCATTGAGCTGCGGTGCCGGAAGGTGTGGGCACCAGGGGCCGCCGGGTTAGGGCACTGGGAACCTCTGTGCCAACCTCGAAACTTCTGTGAATCTACAGCTATTCCAAAATGAAAAGCTTATCTTTAGAAAGAGAGAGAATGGGAGGAGAGGGTCGAAGACAGAAATGAGGAAATAGCTTCTGAGGAGCGGAGGAGAAGGCGAGTGGGCAGAACCTCTGGGGCATGCAGCTGCAGGGCTGCATCTGGAGGTAGACGGGGATGGACTGGCCTCACTGCCACCTCTGCACGCTGGGGAAGGCGGGAGCCAGGCCCTCAGCAGAGGGGGGTTCTGGGGGTGAGGAGGCAGGACCAGTGTGGGTCACCATCTGCACTAATGGGCGAGTGGGCTGAACAGGTGGGAACGGGGCTGGGTGGGCAGCTCTGGGGCCGGGGAGTTCAGGCACAGGTTCGGAGCAAGCCCCTGCCTGTCACCATGGCGGTGTCTCTGGGTACAAGCAAGGACCTAGAGCTAACCAGGGTGGGGTTGCCGGGTGAGGGCCCAGAAGCAGAGTTGTAATGATGGCGATGGGACTTCAGCTGGGTGAGGGAGGGAGCAGGCTGGGCAGGAGTTGCTGGTGGTCTGTGGTTCTGGGGCGCGGGAGGATCGGGAAGTCGGGAGCAGGGAGGACAGCTAGGGCGGCCACCTGGTGTTGCAGGCTCTGGTCACTGGGGTCAGCAGCATGGGAGGCAGATGATGGACTGTTCTGGTGGTTTCTGTGGCAGGTCCACGCCGCCTCCCTTTTGGCTTGTTTTTTGGGGGGCTTTTGGCTTTTGGGGTTGGGGTTGGGGGGGGGCAGGTTCCTCCGGAGCATCAAGACCACCACTCTCTCCTGTTCCCCATCTCACTGTGGCACACATGGAGCAGGTGAGCCCTGTGGGTCCCACTCAGGGTGCTCTCAGAGCCCGGGTGGAGTTGAATCCATGAGAACAGAGTGTTCAGTTTGGCCTGCTCTCCCACTCGCTTTTCCGGTTTTTATCTGCAGTCCTTCCTACTGAAGCCTCTAAGAAAGAATCATCTGAGCAGCTTTGAAGGACGCAGGGATTTGCAAGGCAGAGGGAGCCTGGAGGCCCGCTTAGCCACAGCAGGGCAGCGAGAGCCTGGCGTGTAGGGGGCCAGGAGATCCTCCAGTGGTCGAGGATGTTGTCGAGTAGGTTTTGTGGCGTGAAGATTGGGCCATGGAGCCCAGAGAGCTACTGCCCTCTGCCCGGTGAGAGAGAGGGCTTTGCCCCCCAGGGTGGGGCCGCAAGTGTGTGTCTCTGCATTGCGTAATTGCAGGGATGTTGTGTCCTGTACTTTCTTTTAGCCTAAATGCCGTATGCCCTTAATCCTCCCACGTTTTGAGGCCACCACCAAGAGGCCTGGGCAGGTGCAGAATCGCTTGTCCAGAGTCTGGGCTCCCTTGTTCACCAGGCTGTGGTTTGTCCTGTGGGGCTTTGCTCCTCTTCACAGAGGACGGAGCTGCCCCGTGTCAGAGGGGAGCCGTGCCCCGCTCTCCCTCAGCGTGTCTGTGTCTGGAATTTGAAGTTGCTGTTGGGAGGGCGTCCATATGACACCTTCAGCTGCACAAGCCAGGTGTCCTCCTGGGGTCCTGGTACCCAAAACAGCTCTGTGCGCCACGGGCATTGTGCGCATGGCTGATTTTCCAGTTTCTGATGCTCGTGGGGACAAAAGGAGCACTGGATGGAAACAGCTGTTTGTTTGTCTTTAAACAGGTTTTCTCAGCGTCTCTCTGGGGTGGAATGTTGGTGCCCATTGGTGACAAGCCGTCCAGTATTGCTGACAGGTGAGTGACAATAAACGAATGGGCAATTGCGGATGTTTCCTTCGGATCTTTTCGGTCAGTTTCTTAGAAGATATTTTACAGAAGTTTATTCAGGAGGGCAATATTTCAAATTTTACTTTAGGTTTTATGTGTAAGCTGATTTCAAAATGTCCAGTATACCTCATTCTTAATATTTTTTGCTTTTTGTCAGGGGGCTACTTACTTCATTGTATTAAAAAATTGTTCCCTTTTGGTTATGAAAGAATACAGTTCATACTCATCGCAGAAATATAAAAATAGAGAAACATTTAAGGAAGTAAAAAAAACCCAGTCCTACTCAGTGATAAGCAGAGTTAACATTTGGGCCTAATTCCTTTTAGTTTATTTGTAGTAGTTGTGTGTTTGTGTATATTTGTGTATGTATATGTATATATATTTACATATATGTATATTAAGTTGTTAATATACTATATTTTACATGCAAGTTTGTGTCCTCCCTCCTTTTTAAAAAGCGTTAAGGAAATTATAGTGTAATCATTCACCCAGTCATGAGAAATTCTTCATAAACAATGTTTTAATGACATATAATGTTACTTGTATATACTATAACTTTTTAGCCTACCTCGTATTTTTGGATAGTTTACTTATTTCTAATTTGTGATTTTTATAAGTAACACTGTGAATAATAACTTTTTAAATAATTTGTTGGTAATTGTATTTTCTGTGAAGAGATTCCTAAATGTGGAATTACTAACTCAGAGTAAGGCTCCTAATATTGCTGGGTCCTGCCTTGTGGAAACCTTACAGCGGTTTATACCCTGACCAGCAGGGTGCGGAGTTGTACTTGTAGCTTTGAAATACTGATGATTGTCCTGGAGGACAGGAAACTTTTTCTTCAACCCTGCATTAGTGAAAATGTTGTTTTAGCTTAAACTGGTTCAGCCTTTTTAGGTGGCTGTTTAGAAGTATAAAACTTCCAAAATTTTAAATTTATACACTCTTCACCTAACAGTTTCACCTTCAGGAATCTAACTTAAAAAAATACTTTTATAAGTGTGCAAAGATTTATATGTACGAGGATATCCATCATAGCACTGTAGATAAATAGCAAAAAACTTAAAACTGCCTTATGTAAGTCCACAAGTAGGGAAACGACTACTAATAAATTTTAACACAACCATTCTTAAGGAAGACTGCAATTATTAAAAATAATGAGATAGATGTCCATAAGTTAAAAAATTTGCGTAGGAACATTTAGTTGATCCTCTTCTGATTACTCAGCAAAACTCCAGTGTGCACGTGTGTGTTGGCAGGTGCTTCACTGAGGGTCTGGGAAGTGGGCCACCAACCAGTGGGCAGACGGAGGGGGGCTGGGAAGAACCTTTTCTTTCTTTTTTGTTTTCTTTTTTTTTTTTACCTACCCTCTGAGGCGTGAAGAACCTTTTCATTCTTTATGTGCTTCCTGTATCATTTGAATTCTTTCAAAAGATTTATCATTTTTTTTAAAACATGGAGCCTGCTGTTTGTTTCTATAATTAACGTTAATGGGTTAATCAGAAAAACTTTGCTGAGAAATCCCAAATAGTAAAGTTAAAATGAATGATCTCCTAAAGGCTTCGATCTGGCAGGAAAATAAGGAAAAACAGCACCCTGTGCCCTTTGCGAGATGCTCTTAGCAGTCAAGTGGCATCCGGGTGGGCAGGAGGCCCGAGGCCATCATCACTGGTCATTACCTCCCTGATGGCCCCTCAGGTGCCGGAAACATTACACACAACTTTCTGTCATTCTGATTCGTTTTTTAGTAGCTATCACAATCTAAAATCAGGTTCTAATGTGCTGTGCAATTTTTTAGAAAGTGGATGGGATTTCTGAGTCATTTTTAATTCATGCTTTTCATTTTATTCAGATATGGTTTGAAAGAGTGTGATGATCCAGTCCATCAGGAACACAAGAGGAATTGATTTCTAAAAATTGTTTTCTCTGATTAAAAATAATTGTGGAAAATGCAAAAAACATTTAAAATGACAATTCTATTTTGATCTATTTCCTTCTAGTATTATTCCTCCCCCCTTTTGTAATATTGGGCTCATACTATTAAATAATTTGTAGCCTGCTTTTTTAACTACATTTTTCTGCACCGTGAGTCTGCAGGGGCCCAGTCTGAAAGCTGCTGCATAGTGTTTTTTTTTTTTTTGAGACAGAGTCTTGCTCTGTTGCCTGGGCTACAGTTCTGTGGCGTCAGCCTAGCTCACAGCAACCTCAGACTCCAGCGCTCATGTGATCCTCCTGCCTCAGCCTCCTGAGTAGCTGGGACTACAGGCATGTGCCACCATGCCTGGCT